AACATTTCTAAATACAATAAAATAAAAACGCATATAGCATTTATTAATGTTTATCTTACTGCCTATCCTAATTCCCCGCCCATAAAACCCCATAAACACCGTTTCTGTAGGACAAAATGCTGGTGTGTGTGTGTGTGTCTGTGTACCTGTGTTCGCCATCGGGTCTTGCATCCAGGGCGTGGATCCTCGGTGGCCTGCAGCCAATCAGTGAATTGGTGGAGTTTTATTGGCTGGGATTGCGCTACAGGACATACTCGTCCCGGTGTGCTTTGGAGCCCGGCCTCAAACCCCCCGCCAGTAGCGGATTCGAGTCCCAGGAGTTACAGCCGTAAAGTTCAGGGTATGGTTGCCTGATGACGGTTAATATGCCAGAATTGACTGTCATATTCTCCCTGGTTTTTGTTGTTTCTCATTCCTGCATGTATTGCTGACCCGCGCTATGAGACGAGCACGTCCGTAGCATGCTCTCTGATCGTCCCGAACTGGCCCTTTAAGTCGGCCTTGTCTTTGCCGGTACTCCTTCAAGTGGCAAGCAGTGCATTACAGTGGTTTTTTTGGACCGCAGTTTTTAAGTTTTATCAAAACCTGGAAGCCAATGTCCACCTTCAATTTACATGCGGAAAACTTACCCCTGGAGGCCTCGGGAAACACATTCAACTACATTTTCCCACTTTCCACTTACTTCTATAAATTTCCTTCGTTGCCCATCCTATTATCCCACCCTTAGAACCCCTATAATCACCGTTCCGTAGGACAAAATGCTGGGACTAGGGGTATATCAAGTGTACTATTTAAACTACCTTTGCCAATTTTACACCCTTGAAACCTTGACATCGCGCAAAAACTCGTGTCTGTTGAAAGACTGTAAATGAATAAAGCAACTTGGTCGTACTATAGACGGCGGATCGAACTGCGGGGATATTTATATGAACAACATTGAGTAGTGCTCATATGAACAAAGGGGGTACTGGGAATTGTTCCTGGACATGCAAACGTTTGAATACCACCAGTTTACCATGTCGCTTAATAGCCGGCTATTTTCTCGAGGGTTTTCTCTAGTCTGGTTTTGTGTTTTCGCGTAGAATTACGATACGTACTGACTATGAGTTTTTGGTCGGCAATGGATGGGAGACGCCACCCGTTGGTGCAAAGCCACTTGCTCTCATCCGCACGTTTGTACATGATTTTCTATTTTTACTGCCCGCTTTCAGGCTTTCCTTTCTACGCCGCTTCTAGAGGGAGAGACTTTACCCAGTGTGATGGATTCCAAACAGCCGGCTGTTTCCCTTAAAAGCATCAGTGCTACCTGGAGCAAGGTGAGCTATTGACATTCTACTGAATCGAAAAGCGTTTAAGGTTTAGAATTGCTTATATGA